GGTGCGGGCAGGTTGGTTTTAGGGTTTAGGGTTTTGGGTTTTGGGTTTAGGGTTTAGGGTTTAGGGTTTAGGGGTTTAGGGTTCAGGGTTTAGGGCTTAGGGGTGTAGGGTTTAGGGTTTAGGGTGTTATCCTTTCAAAGAGGATTGGTGTTGCTTGAGCCCCTGTTATCAGGAAACCTGTTGAAAAGTAGACTCTAGCACCTGCCCATAGCAAACTTGCGGGGCAGGCCTAGGATGGAATGAGTGCATCTTTGCTTTCGATGTGTCCGTCCATCTTCGCCTCCTCGGTAGCGAGATTCGTCGCCGGGCCGTACCTTGCCACCAATACCACACGTCCTAAAAAGCCGTGCAAAAGCTTCGCATTAAGATTGATCGCTGGAACTTGTTTCCTCTAGTGAAGTCACGTTAGCCTGCTAAGTGAGCATCGACTTGGGGCAAATCTGAATTAAGCGTTTTCCAAATCACGAGTTCACGAAAAATAAGGCTGTGTACACTTTGCCCACAGCAACTACATAGACATAGACGAAACCCTAAACTGTAAATGATCTTACTACAAGGACCCCTAAACCCTAAATAAGGTACCCCTAAACCCTAAAACATAAAGAAAGTATCCTCTCGTTTTTTGCCAACACACAGACGTAGGCAACTCTCTTCGCTTATTAGGTGCGTTGTGCGGCGGCTGCTGTAGCGCAGGCAGCTGCTGGAGGCGAGAGGAGATTCATGAATCGGAGGTTTAGGGTTCAGGGTTTAGGGTTTAGGGGTTTGGGTTTCGGGTTTGGGATTTAGGGTTTCGGGTGGTGTACTTCGGGTTTTGGGTTTAGGGATTGGGGTTTAGGGTTTGGAGATTAGGGATATGTTGGGGTTGCCACCATTCAATAGACGTGGTCATGCTGCCAGAGCATTCTCTGGCTTGGCTCTCTTGATTCTTGACGATGTCAGCCGGACTTTATAAACGAGGGTAGTTTGTTTACTCGGTGTTGGGTCTTGGGGTTCCTGTACGCATTGTAGTAGGATCACAGCAAGGCCAGAAGATGCAAAACCTGGTGACCTAGTGCTCTCGGCCGCAGGTGACAAGTGAGACTCTAGACCCTCAGCCCTAAACCCCTACTGCGACCTCGACCACGAAACCAAGAGAAGTCCCCCTTGAAACCCCGCACCCATAACCCTAAACCTCAAATAAACCTTAAACCTCAAACCAAAAAACTCCAAACCCTACGCCCTACCACCCCCAAGCAACAAAACGCTGCGGAATTTCCAGGCGGTCCGCCCCGGCATAGCGCTTTACCATGGCAGCGGTGGCAGGCAGAGCCGCTCACAGAGGCCGCTTTTGGACTGGGGCTGTCCAGGGTTTATTCAGGGTTTAGGGTTTAGGGTTTAGGGTTTAGGGTTTGGTAGGGCTCAGGGTTTATGGTTTCGGGTTTGGGGGGCTGTAGAGCTCATGGGGATCAGTGTTGTGCACTTTGCGGTTTCGTGGCTTTCGGACTTAGAGTTTGAGGACTTAACCGCTGGGGATTGACACCATGCAGGTGTTGCAGCTTGTTGGTCAGTTCGGGTTTTAATTCAGATTCAAGGTGCTGCACAGAAGCGACCGGGATTCCTGAATCTACACACCATCTGCGAGCTGTGGTCGAGGTTAAATTTTGCAAACGGCTAAGGCCAGGGCCGGCTTCATGTCTATAGGAGCGCCAGCGAAAAGAAGAAGTCTGTAGGTTGAGAACTAAGCTTTTCGTGCAATGCCGAGAAATTTTTGTCAACGACAGGGCTTCTCGGTGCCCTATTGCTGCTATGCAGCAGGACCAGGCCAACCCTCTTTTCCCCAAAGCACAACCGAAAACCTCAGCGCTAGACGCCGAAGCGTTTTTATAAAGCCTTGAATACTTTCATAATCCTCACCCTAAGCCAAGAATCCTAAAGTTTGAATACTTTCATAATCCTCACCCTAAGCCAAGAATCCTAAAGTTTGAATACTTTCCTAATCCTCACCCTAAGCCAAGAGTCCTAAAGTTTGAATACTTTCATAATCCTCACCCTAAGCCAAGAGTCCTAAAGTTTGAATACTTTCATAAGCCTCTCCCTAAGCCAAGAATCCTAAAGTTTGAATACTTTCATAAGCCTCTCCCTAAGCCAAGAATCCTAAAGTTTGAATAGTTTCAGCCTTGAAGGCCCAGAAGCTTCATCGGCCGTGCCACAACCCACGATAGCATGTCATGTCACACTGTGCTGCTGCCATGATCCGCAAGAGTAGCTTAGGGGCTGAGTAGGTAACCTTTAACCTTTTGGGGCTCTTATAATTCTACTATAATTCAAAAGGTTAACCTTTTTTGGGCTAGGGTACTCAGCCCCTCAGGTAGATCACCGGAGATTTATGGACCTCGAAGGGCAGCTGAGCCCATTCTGGAGGTGGCGCATAAAGTCCGATGAGTCTTCTGAAGGTTTGCGTGGTCTTCGGACTCCATCGGCATCTGCTGCTGGATTGCTGTTAGGGAACTTAAATGAGTTTACTATGTAAGGAGCCCCTATCATTTACCAAGTATCCCCATCATGGTAACTTAACCTTAAACCCCAAACCCTAAAGCCTAAACCCTAAACCCTGAACCCTAAACCCCTAAACCCTAAACCCTAAAACCCCTAAACCCTAAACCCTAAACCCTAAAGCCAGCAACCCAGGATGGCCGGGACCATTCCCTGGTCTCCAGTTCGTCAGGGCTCAGTTGGCTCCGTTGGCTGGCAGCCCGAGCCCATGGAGTACCCCGGTGTTGGGAATAGGGTTTAGGCTCCAGGGGTTTAGGCTTTAAGGGGTTAGCCTTTAGGGGTTTAGGGTTGAGGCTTTAGGGGTTTAGAGTTTAGGCTGTAGGGGTTTAGGGTGTAGGGGTTTAGGGGTTTAGGCTTTAGGGTTTAAGGCTTTAGGGGTTTAGGCTTCTGGGGTTGAGGCTTTGGGGGTTAGGCTTTAGGGGTTTAGGCTTTCGGGGTTGAGGCTTTAGGGTTGAGGCTTTAGGGGTTGAGGCTTTGGGGGTTTAGGCTTTAGGGTTGAGGCTTTAGGGGTTTGGGGTTTAGGGGTTTAGGGTTTAGGGGTTTAGGGGTTGAGGCTTTAGGGGTTTAGGGGTTTCGGGTTTAGGGGTTGAGGGGTTTAGGGTTTAGGCTTTAGGGGTTCAGGGTTTTGGGTTTTGGGTTTTAGAAGACTGTAGAAGCCTATTCAGTAAGTACCTACATTATTAGGACCCCGGAATATTACTCCGGTTCGTTTTCTTTTTATCTTATAGTAAGTACCATGAAAGCGGTTCTAACAATGGAGGCCCCTCTAGTACCTCCTTTGTCCTGTCTCGTGAAGTGGGGCTTCGGGTGCCCAAATTGTCTAGGTTTAGGGTTTAGGGTTTAGGGTTTAGAGTTTAGGGTTTAGAGTTTAGTGTTTAGGGTTTAGGGTTTGGGGTTTAGGGTTTAGGGTTTAGGGCTTGGTTCATGCGTTCCCTTGACGAGTGTTTCGGGTTTAGGGTTTAGGGGTTTCCCCAGTTTCAGTCTAGAGAAGTGCAAGCAGTACCTTCGGGTGTCCTTGTTGTGAGTATTTTCGTCACACAAAGATCCCATTCGTGACCCCTTGAGGGTTGAACCTAAACCCTAAGCCCTCCAAGAAACCCTAGACCTTAAACCCTAAACCCTAAACCTTGGGACCATTGCACTCAAAAAAACCCTAAACCTCAAAGGATCTAGCAACCCCGATATTCGGCCTGTTGTCTGTGGCCAATCAGGTTCCTGAGCGATCTTCACTCGAACCCCTTCGTCTTTCCCTTCGAGCAGTGCTTAGAGTCTTCATTGTAGCTCCTTTTGTTGGTTGAGGGTAAGGGTTTAGGGTTTTGGGTCTAAGGTTTAGTTTTTAGGGTTAGGGTTTAGGGATTAGGGTAACCTATTGTATAATAAGGATTTTATAAGGTATCCCCAAAAGGGAGCTACAATGGAGACTATAGGTGCTTTCCACCGGAGAGCCCTGCGACCTTTGTTCGGTGCTGCAACGCAAGGTGGGGGAGTATAGTTAGCCCCTAAAGCCTCAACCCTTACACCCGACGAAAAGGCCCTTTCAAAGAAAGACCTAACACCCTCAACCCTAACATCCCTAACCCAAATCAATTCCGGAGCCCCAGGTGGCGCCACCAGCTTCCGAATCGAGACTGCTGGGGAAGACCATTCCTCCGAGGGGCCCAAGCCAAGTATTTACAACGCCTGCATAGACTAAAAGCAATGGACCTTTCTACGGAGACCGATGACGTACGTTTCGAGGCTGGCCAGATTTTGAAGGAGGTAAGCAGATACTGTCCGGATGGTGAATGCCACCAGCAACACTGGCCCTACGACAGCTTGCCGTTCCTGCAACAACTGCGGATTGCACACCTGCATGCCCTTGGAAGATTGCGTGAAGGGGAGCCTGTTGGGCCACAGAAGAGCGGCAGGCTGGAGTATCCAAGTCCAGCAGAGCCTGGGCTGTTGCTAAGAGATTTTATTTACTATAGATCCCTAACTTAAACTAAATTCCTCAAGAAGAACCCAGGAGTTCAAGAGGTGGCTCAGCTGGAAGAACAGGAGCCTGACGAATCCCATGGATTGCTGCGGGCTGGAAGTAGAGACTCAAAAACCACCGAAACTGTTTCCAACGCCCTTTTTGGACGAGTATTATGAACAGAAGTGGCCTCCGGCGTTGACGTCGAAGAACCGGGTCGGTCGAGATCTCTTCTCATGCCAGAGCGTGTTGTCTGAAATTTCATTGCATGAGCTGGTGGTTCTGTACATCCGTGCGGGGTCACCTGCCTACATCTTGCGCGAACGAAAGGCTTTACCCCCCAGGGCCCATGCCCGATACTTGAAGTGGAGTGAGAGATGCACACATCACTACAGCACGTCTGATCGCCCCGAGTTTTGGACGCAAAGTCTGCTTAGCTTCAAGCCTAATGCTGTCCAGGCAGAGCCCCGACAGGATCCGCTGTTTATGGACATACTGCCTGCGGAGAGCGCTATTTATCCAGAGGGGCGGGCAGCATCCAAGCGCTTCGGAGTTCTTGCCAACTGCGCCCATCGGACTCGGAAGAACTGTCGCTTGGCAGTGGGCCTTTGGCAATGCTACACAGAAAGGCATTCAAACGACACAGAGATCTGGTACCGAGAACAAACTGCCGATTTCCACAGCGAGACAGATCTCAGGTGCAGCTCAGGCGCCCGTGGCAAAGACTTGGCGAGGCAGTGTGGGACTGAGGGGCTGGATTGCGAAGAGACGGAAAAGAGTTCCTTTCACTACTGGCGCACATCCTTCAACGCACTGACATTTAACAGCATGTGCATGCTCCATCATGATGCTTTACTTGACAACAAGCGCACAAAAGTTCGTGTGGGTGCAGATGTTTTCGGACGGTATGAATGGCACCTGCTTGTGGACGGAGGAGATGTTAGCATCGGCCCAGGTTGCTTTGACCAAAGCCTCTCAAAAATTATCTCCATGGCCCCACTTGAAGCGGATATAATTGCAAAGGATCCGAGTGACTTGGAAGATAGCAACGGAGGAGTCGTTCTAGTACGTCGCTCGCCCTTGGGCAAGTTGTTCCTAGACCTGATGCTGGACAAGACAAGCTGGCCGTTGCAGCTCATCGGAAGTGGTTGCTATTGTGACCAACCCAGTATGAACGAAGCGATTCTGGAGATAGTTGCGTGGGAGACAGGCGCGGAGTACAACTCAGACTGCTTGCCGCACTTATTTGTTGAGCCCAGCGAAGATGGCAACTTTGGGTGCCACTACATGACCCATTTGCTCTGCTTCAAGACAAATCTGCGACGCATGACAGGACCTTTCGGAAATCGCAGCAGTCGCAAGATCTTCTTCCTGCCGCCGCACCGGGCGGCAGACATAAATTTCCGGCCGGCTGGCAATGTGCCGAATCGAGCGACAGAGGGCAACCTAGCCCACTTCCACTGGAGGCCTTTTATATGGCATTGGAACAGCTATCAATCGAAGCATCCGGTTATGTTGAAGCACCATGGAATCGAAGAGAATGCTGAGATGACCTTGCCACCGTGCCTGGGGCCAGACTTGTCAGCCAAAGTGATCACTCAAGCCCTTTTGTCCTTAATTGCGTGCCCGACAAACAGTAGGAATGTTGTTTGGCATCTGATAACTGCTAGGGCTGCTAGGAACGGTGAGCATGCAAACGAATAGCAATGTACCAGTCGTCGCACCGTCGTCACCATCATCATCGTCATCATCATCATCATCATCGTCATCATCATCATCATCATCATCATCATCATCATCAGTGTCATCGTCATCGTCGTCATCATCATCATCATCATCACAACCATCACCATGACCATCACCATCATCGTTTTCCTCGCCATCATGCTTGTCAGCACTATCACAGAAGGCACCACCAGCATCCTCACCATCAGCACTAGCACTGCACCAGCGGTTTGGGTTGTTTTCAACAGGGGCATCTCCATCGACGTCATCGCTTTCATCGGTATTCATGATGAGGACGCTGCCAGTCACCATGCTTTTAATGATCACGAAAATGATCGTGACACAGATGATGTGGTGGAGATGAATGCGATGATGAAGATCAGGACGCCGATGGTGAAGCAGATGCACATGCGTCAGTAACATGTGGTTGCCGTCCAGGTATCCATCTGTCGAAGACCGATCAGATCCTTCGGTCTGGCATGCTTTCTCACGACTACAGTCACAGTGGTGTCAGCAACATCTTGCCAAGCATCCACCTCGATGTTCTTTTCGGTCTGCATCGAGAGTATGCAGCCAATGGCAGCCTGGAGGACTGCCATACTGTTAATAGTTAGAGCATCCAAGAAAATGCTTTTTGTTGCCGGCGGCGACGAGGCTCACATAGTCGCCAAGCTGCCGTAGTCGCCACGCTGACCAGTCCTGCAATGTGGAAAACCACGACCTTGTGCGATACTGTGCAGGTGGCACTTTTGCAAAACACTGAATTCACAGTCGTCTCCCATCTTGTTGAGCCAGGTGCAAAGCAACCCGCCTACAGGGACTGCAACTCCGGAGCTGCGAGCCGCAGGTGGGAATGAAGTGAGCCGAAGAGTATTCCCTGTCCCAGGCAACACGGTTTCCGAGCTTGGAACCCGCGCATTTGAGAAAGCTTCGATGCTAGAAGGAAGCCACAATAGCAGTACTGGTAGCAGTAGCAGTAGAAGTAGCAGTGGGAGTAGTCCTAGTAGTAGTAGTAGTAGTAGTAGTAGTAGTAGTGGTAGTAGTAACAGCAGCAGTAGTAGTCGTCATCGACGTAGTAGTAGAGCAGCAGCAGCAGCAGCTGCGGCAGCAGCGGAAGCAGTTGTAGTAGCTGTGGTAGTAGCAGCAGCCTCAGCAGAAATAGCAGTATTTAGCAGCGGCAGTGACAGTGGCAGCAGCAGCGGCAGTGGCAGTCGCAGCCGCAGTAGTAGTAGCCGTCGCAGAAGTAGTAGTAGTAGTAGTAGTAGTAGTAGTAGCAGCAGCAGCAGCAATAGCTGCAATAGCAGCTGCAGCAGCAGAGCCTACATCTCGAAGTTGTTAATTGGCTCACACTCGAGCGTTGAAGTGCCACGAGGCATCAAACCCAAAGGGTCCAAGTACCATTATAGTAGGTACTTAGCAGGTATTTGGGCCCCAAAAGTATATACTATACTAGTACTTGGACCCTTCGGGAAAGAATGAAAGGTGCCATGTCGAAGTGCTGCACATCACCACACGAAGTCACAAACGACGCTTGCAAGAAGTCAAGTCAGCTAATGCGAAATAGAGTATAGTACAACAGTATAACTATACTATGGTCTACTATAGCTAATGGAATTCAGCACAGGATATACTATGGTCTACTATAGCTCGCAGAATACAATATATAGAATTATACTAGAGACCGTGCCGCCGAGATCGAGCCCTAAACCCTAAACCCTAGACCTTGATCCCTAAACCCTCAACCCCGAACCCTAAACCCTAAACCTTGAACCCTAAACCCTGAATCCCAAACCCTACACCCTACACCCTAAACCCTACACCCCGAACCCTAAACCCTAAACCCTCAACCCTAAACCCTACACCCTCAACCCCGA